TAACTTATTATTAATTTATAATAATTGCTCCTTTAGGGCTCATAGTTGTGGTTCTTCATATTAACAGAGGTGCTCACAAGTTGGGACAAATGGGGCCAATTACCATCCTGATAATTAGATGGTCCCCCAATGGCCGCCCCATTCAGATGGATTTACACACATAATAATAGTTAAGAAAATTAATTTAGGAGTGGACGAGATGAAATACAATCAGTATTGTCAACTGTCTTCGACAGAAAGTAGCTGTAGTTCACTCAGAAAGTCACTAAATGTTTCCAGATGATGACATATGCTAATATGCATTTTAATGATTGGTCGTTTGAGCGTTTATGATTGGTCAGATGATGTGATGTGGTCATGCTGGATGCACATGTGTAGATCATTCCCTTTCTGTGCATCAGGCTGGGTTTTAATCTGAAGGGAATAATGATAAAGTTTACAGAAAGCAGCCTGGAATCGTCTAAAACTTTGCTAAATTTGTTGCTAGGTGCTTGTTAAAAAAACTGTTGTTACGTTTAAAACTTTTGTTTGTTTATCCTTCTGTCCGTGCAGTTTTATTACTAAATAAGAACAATGTAAAATATAATAAATAAGAGAAGAAACTTAAGAATTTGTTTCTGGTTTTGGTTTTTCCAACCCAAATTTTTTAAAGGCTACCATCTGGGTGCCCCTTAAAAATCTCTCTGGATGTGCCCCTGCACATTAGACAGAAAACGGATTCTACATCAGGATTTCCAGAGATTTATTGTAAGCAGGTGAGATGTGTGTCTGTGGTCATTGTTGAGCCAGTTTTCAGTGGGCTGCAGATGGTGGTGACCAGGTAGACACAACATTTAAAAAGTACAATTTTCTGTTGGATATGTGTTGCAATGGCATGTTCATGTATGCTGAAAGTGACAAACACTACTTTTGTGCAAATACTGTGCAAATCTTGTCACAATTTAGTTTTTTTCCTAATGTTTTTTTAATCACGTACAGTTCTCATTGCATATTTGTCATGCAAATGTCATTTTCTGTCTATTCATTTATTTAATGTTTATGATTATGGTTAAACCAGGGCTGCCAACTTTTGAACATTTTAAAGAGTGAGACGGGGCCATGGGGTTGGGAGCGGACAACTCGCAGAACATTTAGAATGGGGTGGGGGGGTTTATTAATATTGAGACTTTTTGTGCTCTACATTTTATTTATTTATTTCTACTCTGTAGGAAGAGGATTAGAGCCACTGACAAGAAAAAAAAAAGAAAAGAAAGATAATTCTTACATTTTTCTCAGAAGTCTGACTTTTTTCTCAAAATTATGAGTTTTTTTTTTCTCAGAATCCTGACTTTTAATCTCGTAATTTAATCTCGGAAAAAAGTCAGAATTGTCTTTTTCTTTTTCTTTCTTTTTTTTCTTCTTTTCAGTGGCTCTAATCGGGGATGGATTTAGGACTGAAGAAGATCCGGGGCTTAACACACACACGCACGCGCGCGCACACGCACGCACGCGCACCATCTACATATATACTGGACAATTCATTTCCATAGGCTCCAATAACACGTTTTTGAGGACAAATGGGAGGTGGCCACCACCGCCATTTTGACCGTGTCACAGGTTCGGTCAAGCCCAGACAATTCCACAAAAGGGAAAAGAGGAGGAGCTGAGGGTGGGGCTGTAAGGCTGGGATCAACTGACGACACCCGGTCGAACTAGCTACAAGCTAACCTGAAGATAACCCAAAGCTAACGCGGAGGTGGGAGCTAAGCTAATGGAGGTAGCAACCTAGCTACAACCGGAGTTAACTGTGCACAACACCAGAGCTTCTTCTATTACATTTAAATTTCATGGCTAAACAGTACATGTTAAAATCTAAGCTCAGCTCAGCAGTGACCTAAAATACATAAATATAATTTTACTTACAGAAAAAAATGAAGTGGAGACTCCTTGGAAGCTCTATTAGTGCAATTAATACCACAGCAAGTCATTTTGTCCAACAATTGCACAATTAATATCAAAAAAGAATGCACAAACAGCACAACTAATGGTCTAAGTTGAGAGACTGAAACTGACGAAACAGTTTTCAGGCAAGGCTCTACTGAGGCCTTTCCCCAGAGCTAGCTCTGTGGTCACGTGGGTCTGATGCTCATTAATTATACAGAATTTTAGGCTTTTAATACACTAAAGCTTGGTTTATGCTTGTCTCATTCACTTTCCGCTTGGTGATGCGGCTCGCGGATGGAACGTGCTTCACAATTCGCAGCGTTTATGGTTCATGCGGCTTGTCTCTGCGGTGAGCCAATATTCTCCCAAACTGAACGGGGCAGCATGGAGCTCTACAGCATGCATCCAACACTACACCATGGTAGAAGTAAAAATTACTGTTTACAACGTGGCCTTCCAGCACTTTTTAACAGCGTCCTCATCTTTTCCGACAGTGCGAGCTATTTCTCTTCAAGAATTTTTAACAACATGTTGATCACGGTGATCTTTGAGAGCTGAATCATACAAATGTCTGTTTTTACGAACCTCTGCCATACTAGTTCTTGCCGGTCCGCCATGTTTTTCCACGTTCGACCGGCCGCGTGGTTAGAAAATTTCCTAGGTGCGCGGTACGGAAATTTTGGGCTGTGCGGAGGCACGGTGGAGGGGCGTGGTTGTTAAAATGATGCAATTTCGCCGTGCGGACCTCGCAGACGTGTCAAGCATAAACCAACCTTTAAACAGAAGAGTGAGAAAAAAATTCACCCCCCTCAGAGTTGTCATGAGTGTAAACTAGATCATTTAAACCAAAAACATGTTTTGGTACCAGGCTGTAAACATGTTTATTACTACTGTGAAATTGGTATTTTTAACATGTGAGTCAATGAGGATTTGCTCGCTTCTGACACCAGCCCCCAGCGGATGAGGGTGGAACTGCAATTTATTTCACTTCCGCGTTGGCCTCAATTTCTGTCCTGCATTGTGGGGGCTTGACGCGCGAGCGCGCGCACACACACACACACACACGTGACACGCACTAGTCAACATCTTATATATTTGTCTTGTACCACATAATTTTTAATCTGAAGCTACATATTAAGCATATTCAGGGCAGAGTATAGTTCCTGTTAGTGTTTAGTGTGAGATGATGGTAAATATTCCCTTTCTTTCTCCATCAACTTTACCTGATAGTAAGCTAACTTTAGGCAAGCCAGCAGCACAACAAATATTTTCAAATAAGACTCACAAACCTGAGTCAACACCAGTCTCATCAAAGCTGGGGCTCTGTCGCCGTACTTTTGGTCTAAAAAACGTCCTTATGTCCATCTTCACTCATGCGTTTCAGGCAGAGACTGTAGAAGAAGCCGGCTGCTGAAGGGCTTCTTCTTCAGTGGTGGAGGCTCAGGCAGGCTGTATACAAACTACTGCCAGCTGCTCCCTCTCTGTTGGACTTTGGTACTGCATGTTACTTCCACGTTTTAGATCTGGGGCTTTTCATAAAACATTCGGGGCTTGAGCCCAAGTAGCCGGGTCTAACCCCACCCCTGGCTTTAATCCTCTTCTGTACCTCTGACTTTACACAGGGAACTGACCTTTGTTTAATAGAAATTTTCTTTTCGAGAGGAAAATTTCACATCCAACTCTCCTGAACTTCACATTATCTATCTATCTATCTATCTATCTATCTATCTATCTATCTATCTATCTATCTATCTATCATCTATCTATCTATCTATCTATCTATCTATCTATCTATCTATCTATCTATCTATCTATCTATCTATCTATCTATCATCTATCTATCTATCTATCTATCTATCTATCTATCTATCTATCTATCTATCTATCTATCTATCATCTATCTATCTATCTATCTATCTATCTATCATCTATCTATCTATCTATCTATCTATCTATCTATCTATCTATCTATCTATCTATCATCTATCTATCTATCTATCTATCTATCTATCTATCTATCCATCCATCCATCCATCCATCCATCCATCATCTATCTATCTATCTATCTATCTATCTATCTATCTATCTATCTATCTATCTATCTATCTATCTATCTATCTATCTATCTATCTATCTATCTATCTATCTATCTATCTATCTATCTATCTATCTATCTATCTATCATCTATCTATCTATCATCTATCTATCTATCTATCTATCTATCTATCTATCTATCTATCTATCTATCTATCTATCTATCTATCTATCTATCTATCTCTCTCTCTCTCTCTCTCTCTCTCTATCTATCTATCTATCTGTCTGTCTGTCTGTCTGTCTGTCTGTCTGTCTGTCTGTCTGTCTGTCTATCTATCTATCTATCTATCTATCTATCTATCTATCTATCTATCTATCTATCATCTATCTATCAGCAGTAAATAGTTACAGCTACATGTCACACAGGAACTTTTAATTATAATTTATGTAAATGTTTTTAAATTTCCATCTAGGGGTGGGCAATATCATGTCATTCATAATTTGACCAGTTATTATTTCCTGCCAAGAAAAAAAATCTATCATGCTAAGCTAACTTCATTGATGTAGTTGCATCCACTAAACAGAGGATTATGTTCATGTGGATCATCAGCATGAAGTTATTGAAGTTATCAAAGCAAACATGGATCAGTTTTACCTGTAATCTGTTTCTCTAAGTGTATGTGCTGCTGTAATGAGTGGATGTCCCCACTGTGGTACTAATAAAATCTACTCTATTCTATTCTGTTAATTCATATCCGCCAGTAGGACAAAAAAACGTTTGAGGAATTTTGACCTTTCCAGGCTTCTGTACAGGTACCTGGTTATGGAGGAGGGGTTTGTTTTTTTGAAAAGCCCAAAGCACTGTGCATGATGCACATTTTGGGGAGTGCAGGTGCTGGTTTAGCGTGAAAGATTGGAGGTGTGGTAAGAGTGTGTGTAGATGGCCAAATGCGTGTGTCTCACTCAGTGCATGAGAGTTGGCAGCCCTGGGTCAAACTGATGTAAGTTAGATGTTTATTATTGTGCAACATTTGTTTTATAGGTGGAAACAAGCTGAAAGGGCAGCAGCTTCGTCTGGACTGGGCCTGGATCTCTCTGGAGAAGGAGTATTATGTAGTGGATGAGGAGGATAAATTCTTGGAGGTGGTGCTCAGACGGCGGGGATACCTGGGAGAAACATCTTTCGTTGGTGAGTCTGTTTGGCTTTTGTTTTCCTCCTTTTTTCTGAACTGAAACTATAATACTTTAGAGTTTTTAACCATTATAGCATGAATGTATTTAGGACAGCAAAATCTAATCGTCAAAACCTCTTATGTAAACACTAATGTCACCCGCCCCTTGAAGAAATTACTCCATTGACCCTTTTTTTACTGCTTTCATCTGACAACCATAGCTTAGAGAGAGGTAAATACTATAATATACTTATATTCTTGCCCCACTTTAAATATTTTAGAGTGATACAAGAGTTATTCCATAATTTTGGAGCTGATTAGTTAACATCAGGTTATTTTTCAGGTTTTTTAGAATTTCCTTTAGTCACAGATATCAAGAAAGAAAAATAAACAGGAACAAATACATAAACAATTACATTTTAAGTGTGAAAAATATGTTTGAAATTAATCTGACTGACTTGTGACACCACCATAGTAGATTACTATGTATTGTATAAATCTTCTAAATAAATATATATGTGTTCTGATTACTTATAAACATTCAAGCACTTGACCCTTTTCACGTGCACATTGCTGGTACATGTGAGCGTGTTGTGTTGTTTTGCGAAGCCTTTGTACCTCTGTGAGTATTCATGTGCAAAACAAACCCAGGCAAACTGCAACCCGTATAAGCAGTTGCAACATTTTTTTTATAGCATTAATCGGATTTATCATCAAAGTCTAGATAATTTTTTTCAGCCTTGAGCCAGTTCTGAGTTATACAAAAGATATTTTTGTTTGGTTTTGTTTATGATTATAAAAATGTTTTAGCTGTGAGGCTTGTTTGGTACCATCTGCAGAGACGTGACTATTCGCCAAAAAAATAAATAACAAAAGGAAAACAGCAGCAATTATTGCTGTTACAGCACAAGAGTTTTTAAAGCAAAACAATGTTTCATTTTACTGTCGTATTTCAAGGTTTCATCTCATTTGTGAGTAGGGATTGATCGATATATGATATATAAATAAAATGGTAAAAATCACTCTGGCTAATTTATTGGTTATCAGTTGGTCGATATATCGGGCTGATTTTTACTATATTTTTATTCATCGCAAATGCCAGTAGTAGTAGTAGTATCCCATAGAGATAGGGTGAGAAGCTTCGGCATTTGGGAGGGGCTCGGGGTAGATTCGCTGCTCCTCCACATCGAGAGGAGCCAGTTGAGATGGCTCGGGCATCTGGTCAGGATGCCTCCTGGATGCCTCCCTGGTGAGGTTTTCTGGGCACGTCCAATCAGGAGGAGGCCTAAAGGGAGACCCAGGGCACATTGGAGGGACTATGTCTCCCACCTGGCCAGGGAACGCCTTGGGATTTCCCTGGAAGAGCTAGCCCAAGTGGCTGGGGAGAGGGAAGTCTGGGCCTCTCGACTTAGGCCACTGCCCCCGTGACCCGACTCCGGGTTAGCGGATGAAAATGGATGGATGGATGGATGGAATGCCAGTATATAAAATGGTAACAAAAAAAAAAAAAAAGTTGGCCCAATATGTCAAATGGCTGATGTATCAGTTGGTCAATATATTGGGCTGGTTTTTACCATATATTTATATATCACCAAAGACAGTTTAAAAAAGGGTAAAAATTGGCCTGATATGTCGAATAGCTGATATATCGGTTGGTCAATACATCAGGTTGATTTTTAGCGTCTTTTTTTTTTTTTTACATTTTGGCATCAGCCAATATACCTCTTTAGTAGGGCAGATGATTTCTTTATATACTTGTTTTTTAGATTTAATACTTGGCCAGTTTATTGATTTGTTTGATAAAATTTTGTAAAATGTTTGAATTTAACAGTCGTAAACAACTGAGATTCAATAGGTAGTTAAATTCCGTGTTTTTGAACAGATTCAGGTTCAGAAATGTTATCCGCCCACTTCTGTTATTGGTCAAAATTTACTATGCAGATAAGGTGAAAAACATTTTGATATCAGCCATGAAATTTGGCCCAAAACATCTGCAGCACATATCAACGGCAGGCCTTGACCTTTACATAACATTATCGGTATCTGCAATAGAAAAACCCATATTGGTTGATCTACTTGTGAACATCAAAATGAGGAAGGTAATCAAACTGTCATCCCATCATCCATCATCTGCTCGTGTCGTATGAAGATGTGGCAAGCTGATGGAATACTGATCTCCCTCTGAGCTTTTGAAAGCTTTGACATTGCACGCTCACATTCAGCTTTACAGAAACTCATGGCTGGAATCACTTGCAGTTTTTACTAAGTGAGCACTGTTGGCTTATTGAAATTTTCTGCAAACCTTTTTTTTTTAATTCTTTTAAAAAAATTTAATCTCTGCCTATTTCTTCCCAAAGCCTGATTTATACTTCCCTATGAGCTCTGCAACGGAGAGATGCATACGGAGTGTCGCATAGGTTTTTGCATTCGAACATCTGTTCAGCAGCGGAGTGTTGGAAATCAATTCCCCTCCAGGGCAACAGAGGGCGTAGCGCTGTTCTGTGGTATCCTGCCATCATAACACTCATGTATCCGGTCCCCGATAGAGTATTTACTAATACGTTTATATATTTCAGAGACTTCATAACACAAATAAATGTGTCCTTCATTCTCATCCACCTCTTCATGCAGTCACCACCTCCAAACCCACATTTCCCGTTGTTTCCGTACACGTTTGCTTTTTGTTTTGTACTCCTTCAGTCGCGAGTGAATAAATGTTATTATTTTCTGACTTTTTTCGCGATGCATTCTTCAACCTGTTCTGGGTCCGCTGCTAAATATCTGTTTACTTTTTAACGGTGCTACAGAGGTGCTGGTGACGAATATACAGGAAGCGGTGTCCCGACAAATAACAAGCTTGCAGTCTCCGTCACTTTTAACGGGTGTTTACAATTTTGGGAATGTCTGCGTCACCCTCTGTGAGCCTGTCAGAGTGCCCTTGCGCCAACGCAAAATGGCGTTGTGTGTCTCTGCACCAACGCAGACAGAGAAGTATAAATCAGGCTTAAGGGAGTAGAGTGGTTCGATCCTGGCTCCGACCAGGGAATGCTGCTGTTGTGCCCTTGGGCACTTAACCCGACTTGCCTGCTGGTGATAGTCTGAGAGCAGGGGCGCCTCCAGAAAATGTTGATGGGGTGGCCAGATGGGACCAAAGACATTTTTGGGGTGGCACACCAAATTGGTCCTTGTGGTAACTCTGGTTGAATTTAGTCTGTGGCGATATACTCTATTGCACCTTTATTCATTTTTATTATAATAACAGTACATATCCAAAACATTTGACTAAAATTTTACAAACAAAAACATTTTAGAAAAATACATGTCAGTGATTTAAAATGTTATTTCAAATTTAATTTAAAAATGTATTTTTTAAGGTTAATTCACCTGTAGCTGTGTTCACACAAAAAACTATGGAGATAAAAACAGCAGTTTTTTAGGGGTGGCCATGGCTACCCCTGGCCACCCCTTGGGGGCACCCTTGTCGGAGAGACCAGTGGCGACAGTATTTGGCAGGCCTCGCCTCTGTCATTGCGCCCTAGGGCAGCTGTAGCTACATCATAACTCATCCCCACCAGCATGTGAATGGCTGAATGACTGATTGTGTTGTGAAGTGTCAAGGGGGGTTGTAGAACCCTAGAAGGTGGTATACAATTCAGGCCTTTTACCATTTACTATTTCTGGACTAACAATTAAAGACAAATAAAGCAAAAGGACTTGTCGGCCATGATCCAAATCACCAGACTCAAAATGACAAGAGAAAAGTTGTCTGTTATTCACTGTGTTATTTGGCATAACTGGCACTTTTGTAACAAGGTGGTTGGTTCTGTCACCTCTTGAGCAGAACCTGCCAGTATACACAAGCCTTTATTCCCGGAGTTTGCGTTTTCTACGAGCCTCCATCTCACCTAGAATACAAAAACCTGTTAGTTTAGCTTGTGATTGAAATGTGAGGTGACAGTTCTAACTTCTGATTGCTGCTCCAGGTAATGCTGGGTTTTCGAGCATGGATGGCTGTCTGTTTCTCTGTGATAGTCCTGTAATAGACTGGAATCCTGTCCAGGATGCATCTTGTGTCTTGCAACACTGTCAAATAAAAAAAGGGCCAGATATAGCTCATGTCATGTTCTGTGGTATTTGTAAGGAGGTGGCTAGAGGGCATGCGAAGGAGCACTGGTTGGTCTATGAAGATGGGTTGCAAAGGGGTCTTGATGAAGACGAGGTCCAGAGTTCCTGTGTGGTGAGCTTGAAAGGGTAGGCGGTAGGGGCGTAGTGGTGAGCGTACAGATAGGGGTTGGAGCTGAATGAAGTGGAGCTGATGAGAAGTTCTTGGAGATGGCTGGAGGAGATGGTTCCTTGAAGGGATAAGAGGAAGGATTAATCTTGGTCCTAGTCTGTTAGAAATCTGCTTCACAAAACATTTCTTAGTCTAAGTCTTAATCTTAGCTTGACAATAAATCTTTAATCTGGCTCGAACTACCCAGGTTGAGTAATCATCCGGCAAGAGTGCTGAGGAAGTCAGCTCCTTAAATACACCCTGGAGGATGAGTGGAGATGAGCTGCAGCTGGCTGTTGCTCCTGCTCTCCAGACACGCCCACCTGCAGACTCTTAGACCTAAAAACATGGTGAGAATAAAAACAGCCCGTGACAGTTCCCCCCGTCAAGGGACACCTCCTGGCGTCCTGGCAGAGGCAGTGGCGGAGGCCCGGGAGGCCTCAAAGTCCCTAATCAGGGAAGGATCTTCAATAAAGGAGTGGGGTATCCAGGACCGCTCTTCAGGTCTATAGCCCTCCCAGTCAACCAGGTATTGGTATCCACGGCCGTGGCGGCGCACATCCAGCAAGCGCCTAACCTGGTAGACGAGACCCCCACCGACAAGCCTGGCCGTAGGGGGAGGAGTAGGAGGGGGACACAGCGGACTGGAGGATACTGGCTTAATGTGGGAGACGTGGAAGACAGGGTGTGTCTTCATGGATGCTGGGAGGTCGAGGCGGACCGATGAATGGTTAATTATTGCTG